GAGGAATCTGAGTAGTAATTTTTGTAAGCTTGGAATATAAGCGGCAGTCTGTGAAAGTCACATAAATAATTCTCTTTCTGTGCCGTCAGTTCCAAATGGCATATCCTGATGGAAGGGTGAATTAGGTATCTGACCCCCAAAGAACAGCAAAGAAGATGCAAGTTGGTGTTCATAAGTGAACCAGGATGTGAGGATGTGTGTGTGTGTGTGTGTGTGTGTGTGTGTGTGTGTGTGTGAGACAGCCTGAGAATCTCAATCTCAAACCTGTTACACAGGTGTGCGGTCTGAACCCACAGTACTAAGTCACCTAAAGTAATTCAATTTTAAGATTCAGTGGAAATAATATTAAGTAAAATAAACTTTACAACGAAAGGCATTTCTTGAGATAGTTTTATAACAAAGGCTTCATCAGGAAAACATAAGTTACTCTAAGTCTGTAAGAACACACCCAGGAAAACAGAAATCAAAACTGACAGAATTATGGGCAAAGTGGGTAAAAATCCAAGTTGTGGGACATTTAAGACATTTTTGTTGTGAGATATATGAACTGCACACACAAAGAAAGAGAATAGAGAAATCTAAGTGTAATTAACAAGCTTACTCTTATACAGGCATTAGAACACTACACCCCAAACTATAGAACACACCCTTTTAAAGCATATATGATATACTGAAAATTTCTTTTCTTTCCTTTTCTTTTGTGGATCCGGGGATTGAACTCAGGCCCTTGCGCCTGCCAGGGAAGCGCTTATTCCACTGAGCCATCTCCCCGGCCCAGATAATTTCTCTTTTTTTGGCGGAGCCAGGGATTGAACTCAGGCCCCTGCACTTGCCAGAGAAGCGCTTATCTACTGAGCCATCTCCCCAGCCCCAATAATTTCTGATCACATACTTTAAAAACCCAGCACTTAAGATCTGAACCCCAGACCAATTAAATCGGCATTTTAGGAGATGAAGCTCCTGCTAAAGTTCCCCAGGTGATACCAACATGTAGCTAAGGTTGCAAACCACTGAACACCAGGTAATTGACAGCTTTCTGTGCTTATATTAAAAGTTAAGGAAAGACAGGCTGGACATAGTGATGCCTGCCTGTAACCCCAGCACTCTGCAGGCTGGGGCAGGAAGACTGCACGTTTGAACCCAGCCTGGGCAACCTAGTGACTTGGTGAGATTCTATCTCAAAATTAAAAAAAAAAAAAAATTTAAAAAATTAAAAAAGCTGGGGAGGTAGCTCAGTGCTAAGTCTCTGGATTCAACCCACAGAGCCATTTTCCCCACTAAAAAAAATTATGTAAGTTTTTGTTTTGTTTTGTTTTGTTTTTGTTTAGGGTCTCACTACGCAGCTCAGACTCATAATGATCCTCTTGATTTCTGCCTTCCTAGTGCTGGGATTACAGGCATGCGCAACCATACCCGAACTCTATCACTGGCTCAGCGTGCCCAGGGGTGGGGCTGATGCGGTGCCAGGGCTTGAACCCTGTCCCTGCGCTTACCTAAGCAAGTGCTTAGTCCACTGAGCTATACCGCCAGCCCTACCACTGAAAAAAATTTAAGGAAGGATAAAAATCTATGCTATAGTCTACTTCAAGCTAGAAACAAAAGACAAAGCGGTGGGGGGGGGGGACAAAAACACAGGAGGAAAGACAAAGGGAGTAAATGCAAGCTACCTTTGCAGTCCATGGGGGATGCTTTCCAGGACCTCCTGTAGAAACAGGAAATCACTGGCAGTACCAAACCCAACACAAACTGCTGCTATACCTGTGGCAGATTTACTTTTATTTATTTATTTTTATTTTTTCTGTATTTAGGACAGCATCTACAGTGTCTACAGGGTCTCACTACATAGATCGGATTCATAGCGATTTCCCTGTTTTCAGCCTCCTAAGTGCTGGGATTACAGGTGTGTACCACCAAGCCCAGTCTCAGATTTACTTTTTTAAAGTTAAACACAGTAAAAGATGAACAATAATATTAGTAAAATCAGACCATTAAGTTAAAGTGAAGTTTTCTTGATCGCAAGCACTGAGTAGCTTTGACAGTCACTCTCAGAACCCAGACACTTGCCAAGTCACCAGACACACAGGTCAGACGGACCACAAACATCCCAGCTGGGCTGCAGTGGGACACGGAGGATGGCCTGGGACAGGACAAGCTGTCCTGCTTCATCCTTGAGATCTCATGACACTTGCCAGTTCATCACGCCACTTGGAATGGTGTAGAATTTAAGACATGGGAATCACTTATTTCTGCAGTTTTCCATTTAATATTTTCAGACCATAGGTGACTGCAGGCCTGAGATAAAGGGAGACTATTGTAATGACACAGAAAAGAGTCACTCTCAGAGCAGGGTGTGGAGGTGCACACTCACAAACCCAGGACTCTGGAGGGCTGTGGCAGCAGGAATGAGAATTCAAGTCCAGCCTGCGTAACTTAGTGATTTAGCAAGACCCTTCTCCAAATAAAAACTAAGACATGGCTAGGAATGTAGCTCAATGCATAGGGAAAAAACTCCAACTCCAGATAAATAAGGAAATTAAATTAGATGAACAAAACATTAGAAGTTATCAGAGGCTATGGGAATTACACTCTTATAATTTTGGCATAGGATGAATTTTTTTTAAAGAAACAAAATTACAAGCTGCAAAGAAGAGAAGTTGGTAAATGTTGGACAACCGCTGTTAGTGTTTGTGCCTGAATGCCCCCCACCCCAGAGCCTCACATGGTCATAGGGGTTGGCTTTGCCGAGGTGGCTCAATCTAGAGTTTGCATTAACTCACTGTCTAGTGCTGTGGTTGGAGGTGTGAGTGCCTCACCGGCAGAGGGCGGGTAGCCCCCAGGCAACCTGAGGAACACCAGAGGCTCCCTCCTCCCTCTTACTCTTGTTGCTTTGCTATCTCCTGCCGCCTTGAACTGCTGCCCCTCACCATGCCACCCTGCCTTGGAGCCAGCTGAGTGTGGACTGAAATCTCCACAAACCATGAGCTTAAATAAACCTTTCCTTCCTTAACTTTGAGTTTTGAGTATTTTGTCTCAGCAATGAGACAAAATGTATGAAGAACTCTGGTAGTTAACAAGAAGCTGACCGGCCAAAAGAAAATGAGCAAGACAGACATTTCACAGAAGTAGAAGCGGAATGCCAGGTCAGTATAAGAAAATATGGTTGGGGTTTGGGGAGACAGCTTAGCGGCACCAGCGCCTGCCTGGCAAGTGCAAGGTCCTGAGTTCAATCTCCAGTACAAAAAAAAAAAAAAGAAAGAAAGAAAAAGAAAATAAGCTCAAGCTGAAAAGTAGTAATTGTTCAGAGGCAAAGTGAAATCACAGTGTTATGTCATAGTGTCCTGGTTTAGGACACACTCCCAGGTTTAGGACACACCCCCTGGTTTAGGACACACCCCCTGGTTTAGGACACACCCTCTGGTTTAGGACACACCCCTTAGTCTGCATTCACTAACCTGTCCCCAGGTCTCCTTTTCCAGGAAAGACTGACGGATTGGTCCGCTGATTATGCCCTACTGTCATTTCCTGTCTTTCTCCTGAATACTCCACCCTCTTTCTTTCGGCCTCTTCCCCATACCATAAAAGACTGCTTAAAAAACAACAACAAAAAAACCTGCTTAAGTGTTTCCTACAAGTTAAAAACTATCCTTTCGTCAAGGCCATACCTTCTCTTCCAAATTCATCCCCTCAAGCTTACAGCCAGCCTCACCACACCCCTTGCCTGCACATCCAAAATTCCTAGGATTGTTTGGTCTTTGCCACTGGTGGTGTTTCAACCATTATTCCATGAAAATATCCCTCTCACCTTGTTGTTGAGTAACAGGGACCACCCTCCTGACACTCCCTTCCTAGGCTGCCTGCTAACACTAACGTATTCTCTCTCCTCTCCTCAAACATATCTCTGCTCAGTAATCTTCTGCTACCTTTTCATTGGTGGGAGGGGTTGACCTCAGAGGTCACACCTGCTAGGCCAGCTCTCCCTCCCTCCCTCTGCACCCCAGCGCAAGCTGTTCCCCTCTATTTCTGCATTCCTTCCTATCCTGCCTTTCTACTTGTGAGCTAATGATTATTGAATCAGTATCAGTAGCATGCACTTGACACATGGCCCCTGCTTTACAGAAGAAAGCTTCCTATTAAAATTGTTGGTAAAATATCCATAAAATATTTTTTCCTAACATGATGACTCCATATGGCATGAGTTTACTTCAAATGACATTACACTTAGGCACAAGAAACAGAACTCATTGGGGGATAGATGGAAAATGTGAAGGTGGAAAATCTGAAACTGAATGGTTACCCTCAATTTTTAGACGCAGAACGGTATTCACAAAATACTTTTGAGGGTGCCTGGGCTCAGGGAGAGTGCTTGGCTAGCAGGTACAAGGCCACTAAAAATAAACCAATAAACAAAGCCCTTCTGCATGGTGGAATCTGCTATATGTCATTCCTGGAACTAGGAGCAAAGATCTGTACCAGAAATTGGCAAAATACAGCCTGCAGATTAAAACTGTCCTGTTACCTGTTTTTATAAATAAAGTTTTATTGGAACCCACACAAATCCATTCAATTACATCTGTCTATGGCTTTCATCTGACAAGGGCTGAGCTGAGCAACTACCATAAAAAAAAATACAGCTCGCAAGCCCTGAAATATCTTCTTTAGCCATTTATATAAAAAGTATACCACTTTTAATACAGATCGATACCTTTTCCATGGTGAACATTTTTTAAAATGTTAATTCATGTAAATTATGTTTTCTAAGACTAAAGATAAATCCTGGCTATCAGAAAGCCCTCCTCATCCGGGTTTGGATGAAGACAGCTTCTATGCTGAGAACTAGTTTTCTCTGAGACTTCACTGAAAGAGCTCACTAATTATATCGTCAAAGTGGCTTCAATAATCCGAGGCAGAAACATTCTGGAATATCTGGTTAGGGCTAGAGGGTAAGTGAACACTGGACTCAGTGCAGTGTCCCTGTCAGCACGGCAGCCTGGGACCCTTGCCTTGTCTGCAGGTGTCAGCCTGGCCCAGGGCTTGTCTGCCCGGCGGTCGTAGTCCGGGGAGTCGGTGACCTCTACGTACTCATTAAACCGCAGGATCCTTCGCGCTTGCAGCTCGGCTACTGTGGGTCGCAGGCTGAGCTGCGGAGAGGAGGGGAAAAGGCAGGGGTCAGAAAACCACTTTCAGCCTCACGGTGGCGAGTTTTCTGCAGAGAACACTTCAGAGCTTGGTTAAATAAGGTCACTTTCAGATACCCCCCCCCCAAAAAAAAAGGCAGTGGGCATCTCGGGAATTTGTAATGAGAGCTAGAAAGCAGCATGCCCTAATTTCTGACACTATAAAAACCAGCACTGTTAGATAGGTCAGAGTGTTTGGCAACCAGCTGCACTGTGTCATCTATCCCCGCTTGCTATCTGTTCCACTACCAGGGACAGACAGGGACGCCAGAAGGATGGTCACCCAGGGGCAGGATGGCTGGGCTGGGGCTAAGTGACCAGGGCAGAAGCTGTGAAACTTGGAGGAATGGAAAGGCACAGTTTCCCATGAAAAGGAGGACATGTGCCTGGCGCCATCATGTGCCCTTGGCCAGAAAAGCCATCCTGGGAGACAAGAGGGCAGGCCTTGCCGCCACCTTTACGTCCTTCTCATCACTGGCTTCCTTCTTGTGGTCTCTACGATTCAAATTTATAATTCTACAGAATTCAGCCGGCCCTCTAGGGACTTGCTTTCATCTTTTGGTCTTTCCTCAGGCCTGTGAGTCAGATGAAAACAATTAGGACCGATGGAAGACATCAAGCCTCCTGGATGACAGGAAGCAGGCAATCTCTGCTGTTGAGATTCCCCCCTTGGGAGGGCCTCTCTTAGCTTGAAGGTATCAATGTTTCCAGACAAGGGGATCCCATCTTCTGTTCTACCGAAGGCAGTGATGGCGAACCTTTTAAAGTTTCTAATGGTAACAAGCAGCCCATTTTTGCATGCTTCCCATGGCTTCCGATGACCTAGAGGGTCCATGACCTACAGGGTCTAGTTTCAGTATCTTTTCATTCTTACACATACTCTGTGTAACCCAGACTATGTCCTCAGTGGAGATAGTCCTTACTTGCACAAGCTCATACACAGTACATGCTGTAGATGCTCTGTGATCCTGGCACTTGGAAGGCTGAGGCACGAGGACTGCCATGAGTTTAAGACCAGCCTGGGCTACATAGTGAGGTCAACAGCTTGGACTACATAGTGTAACCCTGTCTCAAAAAGAGCTCAAACATGAAAAGGAAAAACAGTTCACGCTGTACCTGTCAAAGCTTTCAAGAACTCTCAGAAGGCCTGGACCCCCTGAACCCACGTGAGCCGGGCTACGGCAACTGGAGCTCCTTCGAACCACAGGAGCCCTGGTAGGCAATGGCAAAGCTAGGAATAGTCTTCTTTCCCTTGCATCTTACATGGCGCCCCACTAGGCAGCTGGCTTCATCCTGCTTCTGCAGGGAAGCGGGAATGAGTAGGACCTGCATCCCTGTAGGGGGCAACACATGGTGGGCCCTGGGGTGGGGACAGAGGGGCTCTGCCTCATCCTGAGCCCAGGTGGGCTGAAGAAAGGGTCTGTGTGTCCTCTGAGTGCGCCTGGTGCAGTGCGATGGGGCCACTGCCCGTGTACAGCAGGCGACTTTAGGTCCACGGACTATGACGGAGCCCCCAGAAACAGAGCTCACGCAGCGCCCAGCTGGAGCGTGATCTGACATTATGCACTTTGGGGGAAAGAGCAATCAACTCAGGATCTCTGGAAAAGCAAACAGAATAAATCGGTCCTTATTGCTTTTCCATAGGAACGGAGTGTCTCCTGTACCCTCCTTGGAATGCTTCTGCTGGGAGCTCCCCAGACAGAACTCAAGGGTGTGGGTCAGGCCACACAGGTGACAGCAGTGTCGCTTTTAGTCACCTGGCCCCTGTCCAGGTAGGAGAGGACTATCTGAGGACTATTACAAGGGTAAATACTGAAATATAAATTCTAATGGTGCTTAACTGTTCTCAAGACAACTATTTTCACACACACACACACACACACACACACACACACACACACACACACAAAGTCATTCCTGGAATAGGATTTATATTTTCATGAAATACATGGAAACAATGGCCTGAGTTTTGGAAAGAAGCCACTTGTCAGCCTAGGCAGCACCATGGCCAGAGGCCATGGCAGAGCTCCCTAATAAATTGCCCGGATCTGGTATGCAGAAGTGGCAAATTGGCACCGAAGGGTCACAAAATTGCCTCCCAATCCTCTCTCATTTAACTGCACTTCCAAGACTAAATGGGGACACGTGAGCATTCTTAAAGCTGTATTTTTTAAATGGAAAGAGCTACACTGAAATGTTAATTTAGCCAGGGCTCTCAAAACGGAACATTTCTGTGTTGTATTTTTTTGTTCCGTTTGTGCTTCAAAAACTTTGGATACAGAATATGTGTTTTCTCAATCTGTAAATATAATTGAAAACCCTTCACTTTTCAAAATTAACATAATATGCATAATTACATGTGTATTACAATCTTAGTGTCTATGGTTATTCAGCAGATGAAAAGGAATAATTTTCCTAAGCATCAGATTTACATGTAGAGAGCGGATTTATACTGACATGTATCTCAACACACATGTTCATTAACAGTTATAATGTCATCACCTTCCGGCTGAGTCTACGCTTAAGTTCCATTTTTGCTTCTTGTTCTTCTTCTTCATTCTTTTCTGTTTATTGAGGGAAGAAAGGCATAATGATTTAGTTACCATTGATACTTTTATAGTCAAAACATTCTGTTAGTGCACCACTGTTTGACTAACAGATACTGATCAACACTATTAACATCTTTAAAAGGTTGCCAAATATATATACATATTATTTTTTTTCCTAGTAGAACTGATTGACTAATTTTAAACCTTTTTGCTATTGTTTGAAAAGAACAAGAAAAGCCCTCAAAACCTAAGTGTGCCCATACTCTGGTGAAAGCCTTCTTTCTATTGCTGGCCATCTAGTGGGTCTATAGGTACAATTTACCATAACTCAGATAAAACTTTGCTTCATGTGGAAAGCCTGATGCATACTAAAAGAACAAATTAGAACCATCTGATGTGTGTCTGAACTGCTGATTTCCATTCCAGTCCAAGCAAAATATTTGATTTGTCCTCCTTGGTTTCCATAGAAGCAGAATGTAAGCATGTCTTTGGCCTCTGTGTTCAAACCAGAATGTTCTGAATGGAGTTATGGTGTACTGTGGGCGGAAATTATTTATTTTCTTATGACTTTAACTTTCCAAAGTCTTTATTCTCTAGCATTTCACTGAGTAGTACAATTTAGTGCTAGCAGATGAGTTTTTTAAAATGTCCACAATTTTTAAAGAAACAAATACTGCTTTAGGTTCTATAGGTGCTTATTTGGGGAACTTTGTTGCTTTCTGTAGCTTTCTATCTGTTCAATAAATGAGCACAGATTTTATCACTTAGTTGCCAATGCTTATGAAAGATATTTTAGAAAGTACTATTATGAACTCTACAGAAAGGAAATTACATTGTACAAGGGATCAACACAAAAGCTAAAGAAAAGAAATCTAATATGAAAAGATAATTGTTTCTTAGAGTTCAAATAAATTTCTTAATACTGAGATTATTTTTATGAATAAAATATGTATTTAATATTTGCATTTTTTAGCTGGACTACCTACATTCTCTATAAAATTTTCCTTTTCTGGATATAGGAAAGAGTCTACATTCTTCTAACATACTTTTATTAATAAGGATGAGGATGATAGGATCACTTGATTAATAAGAAAGAGGTTATTAATAGAAAGTGAACCAAATTAAAATCACCCACCAGACAAAACATGCAAGAAATGTCAAACAAATCTTGTTATAATTCAAATTGCTTACTATGAACATATTGTAGGTCTTGCCAATTGTTCAAAACAATGTCTTTTTATACCATTAAAGTATAGCGGGCAAGATAGCTCAGTGGACTAAACACCTGCTTAGGGAAGCACAGGGACCGGGGTTGGATCCCAGCACCACATGCTGCACTGGCCCACCCTTGGGTGCGCTGAGCCAGGAATCAAGACCAGGTATGGTGGTGCATACCTGTAATCCCAGCACTGGGGAGGCTAACAACAGGAGGATCACTACGAGTCTAACCTGTGGAGTGAGACCTTATACCAAATACATTAAAAAAAAAAATTCCAGCAATTCCAGGAGTTCTATAAAGTGTGTGAGTTATCGATTTTACATAACAAACAGGTTCTTGTGATTAAAACCAAGACTTTATAGGGAAAGAAGTTTGATGACATTAATAAAAAATAACATAATCCTTGTATTTTATTTAATTCTTTATCTACATTATAAAAATAGCATTATGCTTCCTTTTTAAGGGTACTTTCCCAAAACAAATATTAATAATAACAATAAAAAAATATCTAATATATCTCAAACTAAGACCTGCTACAATTTTCATTAAATATGCAAAATGCCACTTTCTTCAAGGGAACATTAGTTTTGCTTCACTAAGTGCACCATGAACTAGGTGCCAGTCAGTGTTGTTTAAGAAAAAAAAAAAAAAGGGCCAACTGCAGTTAGGAAGTTGAAGAGGTAGAATTTTACCACCCGGAAATTCTTTTTGACCTCAGGAACCAACTTCTTTACGTTTGCCAAGCTCAGAACTATACTTCTAAGGAAGTGGGAGGAAGAGGGAGAGAAGGCAATACAGTTGCTCCTCTGTACTCTAAGCAGGCATGTAAAAGCTCCTACAAAGAGTCAAGATTAAACTCAACAGCAGTACTCAAAAATGCATGGAGGTTTTGTATGTTTCTACTACTTTTTTTCCCCTTAACCCTGGGGATTGATCCTGGGTTCTTCACAGTGAGATAGGGTTTCACTAAATTGCCCAGGCTATGAACAAAGTCAATGTCCTCCTGCCTCAGCCTCCCGGAGTGCTGGGATCATAGGTGGGTACCCCCATCCCAGCTTCTACAACTTTTAAATCACTAGAGGATGAATTGTAAGGGAGTATGTAAACTTCTGTGGGCCCTTTAAAGAGACTGACGGCATATTCATGAAGGAAGTGACACAGCTCATTGATAAATCTTGTTCTCAGTACCTCACACAGGGGGCAGACATTGTAGAACTGCCAGGAAGCGTTTCTCATAAACACAGAAACAATGCATGTGGTTTGACAGCAGTACACACCATAGGAAACCTGCCTGGCTACCAGTGCTGCCCTGACCCTGTATAGATGAGGCAAAAGGCAGCAGTCCCAGCAACTGGAGGATTATCACAGTCTTGAGTCATTAGTTCTGATAAGCTGTGTTCACAGAGGGCTTAGGCCTATGGATCTGTTTCTCTTTTTGCTGTTTTACATATTTCTATGAGGGTCAGATTTTGTTGTTGTTGATAGTTTTTGTTTTGTTTTGTTTTGCTTTCAGTACTGGGGATTGAACTCAGGGCCTTCATTCTAAGCTACATCCCCAGCCTAGCCCAGGATCTCTCTGGCCCATGAGTTCACAGTAATTCTCCTGCCTCAGCCTCCCCAGGGCTGATTACAGACATGTGCCACCACACCCAGCTAAAGTAAGTGGCCTTAAAAACATAGATTCCTTTTTTCAAATAGTCAATCATGTTGCCTGCAAACAAGAGCTAGAGATGGAACACACAAGTAAGATCAATCTACACAGAAGAACTCAGAGGCAACAGGGCTGAGTCGGTGTTTGTGAGGAAAGCTGTTCTGCCCATGACTGCCATGATTGCAGAGCGCCAGGTTGGGAAAGCGGGCGGCCACACCGCCCTGCACCAGGCCTCTCCGGACTGGAAATGTGCCTCTCATTTCCAGAATCAACACGAACTTAAAGGAAGGAAAGGTCTGGAGTCAAATCTGAGGTTGACCTCAGTGTTTTCCTTTTTCCTGAACATCCAGAAAAACAGGGTCCTCCGGCCAACCCAGCACTAAAGATCAATGTGTAACACATTTCCGCATCCGTGCAACTGTTCTTCAAGTCAGCAAGCTCCAGTGTGGCTTGGCACCCCTACCCATAGGAGTGGGGAAGAACTGCCTGGGATTCACTCTTCTTTCATAGGTTCCCTTTTTTCCCTAAGTACTACATCAGGCAGCCAGTAAGACACCCAGTACGGAGCATACTCTCTACATTTGAGCTTACTTAAAGTTTAATTCAATGTATTGAGGAACCCACTACTGAAAGCAATGAGGCTTTGGGGTTTTACCTGGTTGTTAGGTGTTGCTTCCGCCATCCCTCAGGAGAACTGAAACACACATGGATCCCCCTTCTCTAGCCATGAGTTTTCCCTCTAGGGGCTGGTACTTCTCTACTCTCACGGGCACCTCTATCATTTCTTGGGTTCCATTTCACTTGAGATTTAAAAAAAAAATCCTTGTAGGAAAAAAGATCCCCCAGACTGGGCAGTGGGTGCCTCTCGTCCCACTGGGACATCTGCAGTGCTGGGCTGCCTCAGTTATGGCAACCGTAGTGAAATATGGGTTGTCAGCAGGCCACGCATACTCTGCAGCCTGGTTGGAAAGGAATTCCCTTGGCCAGCCGCTGGCCACACTGCACTCAGGGCTACCTGCAGTGGTGCCAGTCTCCGTTCTTCAATATTTCCTATGATAGAAAAGCTCTTTTGAAACTGGGTTAACAGAGGAAACTACAGGGAGGCTGCACTTGAAATTACCCACTTCTCATGGCAAACTGCATTTCAATGGCGGTTTTCTTCTATTCCACCAAATAGACTAGCAGGAAAGACACAGTGGAAATTAAGTGGGAAAATGAACGGAGAAAGTGCTTTACATGTTGACAAACTATAACTCAAGAAGGAGCCAGAGTTCTCATAACAAAGCAAAGTGAAAAGGAGTGAGGAATTCCTCCCACAAGAACTTGGTTTTAAACTGTGAGGTTAAACCTAGCAACAAACTGTATTATTACTAATAATATAGGAATGTTTGATTTATTCCCTTGTAGATGCTTTGGGTTTTTCTTTAATATTTATTTGCAAGTAGCCTATTTTTTTTCCATGAAATATTTGGAATACATGGACTATATGTCATCTTTCTCAAAAATGATTATGGGCACAACTCCGGTCCAGGAGATATCTGACTCAAAAGTATAAAACAAAATATAAAATTGAAGAAATTATTTTTTTAAATGACAACAGTATCTACATATAACATAAACGGCCCACTTCAGTCAGCTCTGAGGAAACTCAAGTGCTACAGTTCCCTCCTGAGGTGCGGCACGTCTGTGAGCCAGCTTGCTAACAGTTCCCAGACAAGTCACTGGCTGGCATGGGACACTCACGTTTTAGGATATTTCTTTGCTCCAATTCTTCAGTTGTGGGCCTTTGACTGAGTCTCCTAGGGTGACAAAAAATACACAATGCATTAAAAATGAGCTTCACTTGTGGGGGAGACACAAGGTACAATAAAAAAGCTAGCTTTTCTTCATTTTTGGAGAAATAAAAATCCACTTAAATCAGTGAAACAAAACTTGCCGTTCTATCAGTTTGACTGTGGCCGAGACCCTCAACTGTCCACTCTTCCTCTTTCTCTTTGGAACAGAACTGAGTCTGAGCTGGGCGCCTGCCAGCCAGCTTGGTGATGAGACGATGTCTTGCAATGAGACACAAGCTAAGGTGCTGTTCGCCCTTAAAAGAACTTTGTGTGTGCTTTCTTTTTTCCCTTTCCTTCTTCCTCAGGCTACAATGTGGGTGCAGTGGTGTGAGCCCGCTCTGACTATGCAGATAAGACTATTCAAGGCGACACAGGAAGCCCGGATACTACACTAACTTCTGGGAGCCGCATCCCGTACCCGTGCTAGACAGCTCAGCCACCTCTGGGCTGTTACGTGGAAAGGGAGAAATCCACTCTGCTGGAACCTCTGTACTTCTTGGTCTGTCACAGCAGCTTAGCCTGTGTGACAGGCCTGATAGCCTAATTAGTATGCAGGTCATTCAAGTCTAAAATCAGTCACTCTCAAGAGTTTGCGCCAATTCAGGAATTACTTGGTCTAGGCCCACAGTGTTTCAGTGACATACTGCCTTTGGGACTGCAAAGGAATCCATGGCACAAAATGATCTGAGATGGGCCAGCCAAATAGCTCAGCAGATTAAAGCACCTGCAAGCAGGCGCAGGGGCCGGGGGTTCGATCCCTGGGCCTGCCTTGCTGGCCACCCCCCCCCCCGGAGGGGGGTAAGCTGAGACAGCAATTGAGACTGGGCATGGTGGTGCATGCCTGTAATCCCAGCTCTTGGGAGGCTGTAAACAGGTGGATCACTACAAGTCTGATCTGTGTGGTGAGACCCTGTAGACCCTGTCCTAAGTACATTTAAAAAGAATAAATAAGTAAAAATAAAAATTCCAGGTATTGTGTTGGTACTTTACTTACATTTTCTGCAATCCTCTAAACAAATTCAGCAAGGCTGCAGTCAGTTCCCACACAGTAGATGAGGAAACAAAAGATCACTTAACTTGCCTAAGAAAACACTAGAGAATGCTAGAGCCACGATCCCTACTGGCATGCTTTGAATTAGATGTTTTGTTTGTTTGTTTGTTTTGCAGTACCAGGAATTGAACTCAGGACCTTGTGCTTGCCAGGCAAGTGTTTATTCTACTGAGCTATCTCCCCATCCCTATATTAGATGTTTTAAACATCCTAAAGCTGCAACTGTGGGTAAATCACCTTTGAGTGACAGATAGTTGTACTATATCATTGAAAAACAATTACATAAGATGCACATATTAATCACCATAATTTTTATAGGTATAGTCTCTGTATATATTTACAAAGGCTTTCAAATTTTAGAGGTTGCCGTGAAATCCTAATTTCCAAAAAACAGGTGTGCTCTCAACTGGATAGTTAGACTTGGGACAGAGAATTCTCCACACATCCACCCCACATAAACACCTCCAATTCTCCAGGGCTCCCTGCGGAGCTTCCAGGAATCCTTGATGAAGCAGTTAGGAAACTGATGCTCTCTGAGGGTCCACAGTCATCATCTTTTCACGATGCTCTTTATCAATCCCATGTTTAGCAGTTGGTATAATTTGTCACAATAAACATCTTTGTAGAAAAAGTTTTAAAATGTTTTTGAATTATTTTCTCCTTGTACCATCCCCCAAATGGAACTAACACACAAAGAAAAAAAAGATTGCTTTATGGTTCCTGTCCTAATGTTACATTGCTCTTCGGAAATATTGAGCAAGGACAATGTATGTGTGTCCTCTTTTCTCAAACTTGCCAACATTGGGTTTAATTTTAAAATGTGCTTCAGTAGTTTAAAGTTGAAGCACAACTTAAATGGATAGGAAGACGTACTTAATTTTATCAAATGCTTGCTGGGCCACAGGGGCTGCACAATGGTAACACATCGTCTCATTTACCCCTCCCACCCACGAGCTCCCAGGACAGCATCTCGTTCAGAGGCAGGCAAGCAAAGGCTCTCTTCTGCCTTGTTCTAGGAACTGTATTTCTGCTGGTACCAGAGAAGTCCACACTGTCACTCTGTTGCAAGTGCTGGTATTGAATCCAGAGCCTCTCGAGTCCAGGCGAGGGCTCTGTCACAGAGCTGCACCCCTGGCCCACATGCCTGGATACTAAACAGTCACTTCTTCCAGGAGTGCTCATGAACAGGACCACAGTCTCAGCCATCTTCCGAACCTGCTGCAAAGGGTCCCTCATCCTGTCTCAGTGGGTGATTTTTTTGGCCTATATTGGAAAAGATGACATTTCTGTGTGATTTCATTTTATGGACTGAATCTGTTATTGATGACCGGTTCTATGTCACAGACCCATCAGCCTTCAAGGTCTAAATATTTCTATCAATGAGGAATGTTCAGCACCCATGTTCATCAGGTGTGCACATGGCATGAACCTCGAAGGCTGATGGGTTCAGCTCAAAGCTTCTCCCAGAGTCCTGGGGGTGTTCCAGAGCAGGGGCCTCTGGCCTCTTCCAAGCTTCCCTCAGGCAGCTGCTGTCTCTGAGGTCTTCCTCCCTGTCTCACCACTGGAAGTTCCTGGGGCTCCTCTTCCTGTGGAGGAATAGCCAGTGGCCTCCAGAAGCTCTCTGTCCACCCTCCAGGGTGGCTCTGGTCATACAAGTCTTCCTCTATTAGGCCAGGATGACAGCTTCTTCCACCTCCAAATCCTGTTCTTGGATTCCAGACTGTTTCCTTCTTCCAATATGCAAACAGTGGGCACACAGAGAAAGAGTTGGAAGAACAGCAGTGCCTTCATACACTAAAAGTGACCATCAAAAATGAAAGCTGTGCTGGGATTGTCCACTTCTAACAAAACTGCCAGTTCAGTGGACCTCTAAGTCACATGTGACAAAAGCAGAAATAATACACAATAGCAAGAGCTGTCAGATAATCCATTTGCTTCAAGTTAAATGTGGAAGGTTTTGGTAGGGACTACGGCTGCTTGACTTGGATGAAGCCAGGCTCACAGCCTTCAGAGAAGAGCTCATGGCGTTCACAGGATTAGGCCACAGGCTGGCCAATGTTATGCTCTGTCACATAATCCTGTGTGCCACCTTTTTTAGTCAATAAAGTTTTATTGGAACAAGCCATATTCATCTGTTTATACATTATTTGTGTCTGCTTTCATACTGCAGTAATAGTTAAACAGCTGTCACAGAGACAGTCTGGCCAGCAAATAGCCAAATTTGTTCTTTGTATTAAAATCTTATTGCCCCCCACACACATTGAAGTAGGTTTTGAGGACCCGCAAGCCAGCAGGCGAGCTGACCAAAAGGCGGGTTCGCTGAGTGGTTCACGGGCCAAGACCAACTTTCAAAGGCTTGATGGGCCACGTTCACCTGCACACAAGCGATTCACAATGATCCCAGCTAGGAAGGAAACCTGGGCAGTAAGACAAGTACGAATTAGTAAGGGCTGCACTGAAGTGCCAGCAATTACCTGACCAGCTTGGTTCCAATTTGTTGCCGGATTTCCTGCCTCTCTTCTTCAGACGTTCGCTGCAAGATATTTTTGTCCTCTAACTCTTTCTTCGACGGTCTGTTGCCAAGCTTAATAGCAAGAGTATCCCTCCGTCGGATCTTACTTGCCAAAGCACCTGAAGATCAAAAAAAAGACAGAAATGCAGATAAGCAGCATTTGGCCTGCGGCCCTCGGGTTATTCCTGGCATGCCTCTTCAACGGGACACAGGCCCAATTCCTTATCCACATGCAAGAGGGGAACCTTAACTCAACCATGGGGAAAAAGACTTTGAGCTGGATGTAGTCCATTTTGAAAAAAAAAAAAAAAACACCAGAGAACTGTTTTTCAAATGTTTTGAAAAACACTGGGACGTCATTTATAAACTTCAAAGTATCACCTCAGCCTTTGGAAAGAGATGGTGGAAAATTGTTTTCCTGATAAAGTAGATTGTGGAAACTGCTGAATGCACAATGGTCTGTCTGTCTGTCTGTCTGTCTGTCTCTCTCTCTCTCTCTCTCTCTCTCTCTCTCTCTCTCTCTCTCCCCCTTCCTTCCTTCTTTCCTTTTTCAAGTTTGAAAGTTAGTCCCTTTCCTTATATGGCACAGCTAATCCTTGTCTTTTCCTTTCCTCAACCAGCCATCCTGCTGGCGGAGTCTATTGTTTATATTAACATTTAACCCCGTTACTGACAACCTTTAAAATCTCATACCAGGGGCTGGGTCTTGGCTTCATGGTAGCTCACCTTCCTAGTTCGAAGGAGGCTCTGGGTTCAACTCCCACTGCCACCAAAACAAAACAATGCAGAGCAAAAGCAAACCCAAGCCAAACTTCTGCCAAGTAGATGAGAATCATTTATTTATTTTGGCTCTGTACCAGTTAGAGGGAATTTGACAAACTTCTGTTTCATCATTACCAGTAATAATTTTTCATGATTTATAAATTTTTCCCAAGTCATTTTGCTCAGAAGTTTCTAAAATGCAATGGCTCATTCTAATTCTCCAAGTTTACTATAAGTGGTGAACTCTGCTCCACTTTAGAGCTGCTCCTTCCTAGAAGGTCTGCTATTCTATCTTTTGTGAATGACTGATTGATTTTAATGCTAAAAATGGGCTAGCCAGATAGCTCAGTAGACTGAAGCGCCTGCTTAGGCAGGCACAGGGACCGGCCTTGATCCCCTATGTGTTGTGCTGGCCCCATCCCTGGGGTACACTGAGAGAGCAATGGAGACTGGGAGTGGTGGTGCGCACCTGTAATCCCAGCAGTTAGGAGGCTGAAAACAGAAGAATCACAAGTCCAATCTATATAATGAGACACTGTAGACCTTGTCCCAAATACATTTTTAAAAAATACTAAAAACGTACCTGTTAACTGAGATTCCATCTTACTCCAGAAAGAATGTCTAGCATCAACAAATTAACCAATAGCAAAGGCTGTGGGGTAAAAGGAACCCTTCTCCGCTGTTGGTGGGAGGGCAGACTGGTACAACCACTATGCGAATCAGTAAGAAGATTCCTCAAAAGATTAAAAGTGGGACTTCCACTTGCCTGAGCTTTTCGAATCTCTTCTAGGCACTTTCTCTGGAGCTAGCATTATGAGACCACAGTGCTGCACACACACACACACACACACACACACACACACACACACACACACCCCAAAGCAGTACAATTAAATCATAACAGCTAAATTTCGGAAGAAGCCTGCAGGCCCGCAGACAGATGGCTAAAGAAATTGTGGTGCACCATTATACACAATGGGGTATTGCTCTGCCGTAAAGGATGAACTTGAGTCATTTGTAGAAAAATGGATGTACCCTGAGACCACAATATTAAGTGAAGTTAATCAGGCACACAGGCTAAAATATTGAAGATTCTCTTATGTGAGAAGCCAATATATACATAAAATACAAAATAAAAGATTGATAGTAGGAAAAAAGAGGAAAAGGTTATTGTAATCCAGCATGGTCAATGTATCTGAAATTTAGTATAATTGTGGTATGTGTTTTATATGTTTTTGGGGCCTGTTAGTATGGATGTGAATCTGCATGAAGGATAATTAACTTTCTAGTGACTTATGAGATAAATAAACAAATCGGATGTTGGAAGAGAGGTGAAAGGGAAGGGGGAAAAGGACTGAGATTTGTTATGTACATGTACCAATTCTCCGCAATGAATGCAGTCATGTACTGCAAATGCATAGTAATAAACTTTTAAAAAATTTTTTGAAAAGTATTTGTTATTCCTGAATATTCGTTTCTCTTTTCTTTAAACTGTGGTTAAAAAGTGAATGCTGCTCTCCAACGCTCTGCTGAGTGAAGCCAAAGGCTCCTGCTGGATGCTCTTTTTTCTACAGCAGGCCTAGGCCGGCAGGGTCACTGCGGCCCCTCCGAGAGCGCGCACTCTCTTTCCCTGTACAAACCCAAGTCTGCCCATCTGCTTCCTCTGCAAAGGCCTACCCCACCCTTGTAGCCTCATCTTCTGCAAAGACCCATTTGCCCCTCTCAAGCTAAACTTTAGGACAGACACATTTCTCATTTGAGAAGGAAAGAGGAGGCCAAGAAAAACATCGGGCTGCCGAGGAGGCTCTTGGCCTTCTAACCCACAGCTGCCTCTGTCCACCCTACTTCCGGTAAAGGGCCTTACTTTCTCCGCTGCCATCCTCTTCATCTTCTTCCTCCTCATCATCAGTGTACAGGATGGGTCCATCTGAGTCAGAATCACTGGCCTGGTACTCCCTGGTACTGCCGTCCTCCGGGGCACTGAAGGACTCTGAAGATTCTCCCATCAGCCCTGGGGTCAGCAGCTGAGAGACGACCTTCTGCAGCTCATCTTTGGTTGGAAAACTGTTAAGGGGAAAAAAACACGGAGTTGATGGAAGGCTCGGAGCAGCCCTGGGGGATAGCAGCACCCTGAAAGGAACTTGGTGTCAACGGCATCCTCAGGCTAGGGAGGGGAAACCAACTCTTGGTCAGCCAACATCACTGAAGTGGAAAGGCCATCACCTCATTCTTAAGGCTTTACATTCTTCTTCTGCAAAATAAAAAGGCTGGGTCTAATATATTTAGTAAATGAACACAGTAAAACTGTTTCAGAAATCTTTCCTGGGCCTTCGGTTGAGTTCTTCCCCCAGCCTGTCTGGTCCCAAGGCGACCTAAGTACAGCGCAGCTAGACTTCTCAGCCCGCTGTTCCCTCGCTAGTCTGCCAGGGTAAGCCCCACAGGCCCTCAGGTGGGTCTCAAACTGCCCTGCATCCCCGCACCAGAGCATGGTGGCACAGAGAAGGGCCTGGCCTGTCATCCACATACGGGTGTCACATTTTCACCCCACAGCGTGGCAATGGTCAAATGTCATTTCTCCTTTCTGTGCTTCTGTTTTTTCATTTGTAAAACTGCTTCTCACTGAGTTATAGCAACTAACATGAAATGGGAAGTGGGAAAGTTAAATAAACTCTTGAGTAGAAGGGTGAATTACAGGGACACAATAATTATTTTCTGTTATCTATGTAGGTAAGGGTCTTTGGTTTAAGGAGATACTCTCATGTACAAGACATGTAAACTTCCAAGGATTCAAATAAAAAATATACTTGATATAAAAAATCTTTCATATCATGGGGTTTGGTGACACATCCCTACAATCCCAGTGCTTGGGAAGCTGAGGCAAGAGTTTGAGGACAGCGTTGGTTACATAGTAAATTCAAGATCACCCTGAACTACACAGCAAGACTCTGTCTCAAAAATAAAACAAAACCCAAGAACAATAACAAAAACTACTTCCCATCAAAAACAATGTAATCATCATTTTTAAGATACAAAAGATGGAAGATCTTCCCAGATGCTTTTCTTCTCCACCTCCTCCTCCTTTTTGGCACCAGGGGTTGAACTTAGGACCTCATACTTGCCGGGAAGGTGCTGTGCCACTTAGCTGTCTCCCCAGCCCTCTCAAATGCTTTTTTAAATAAACAAAACAAAACAAAACAAAACAAAACAAAACAAAACAAAACACTTTTCTTTTTCTTTATTTGGTACAGGGTCACCACTGAGATCATAGTGATCCTCTTGCCTCAGCCTCCTCAGTGCTGGGATTATAGATGTGTGCACCACCACACCTAGTTTTGGTGGCTGGCACAGCACATCTGGTACTCTGGGCCCAGCATGACAAGTGATACCTGGGACTGAATCTGGGTCCTTGTGCATGCCAGGCAGGCACTTAAACTGCTGAGCTATCTCCCCAGCCCCCAAATGCTTTCTGATATGAACAAAGAACCTACAAGAAATGTGTTCTTAACACAGGTAAACATCAACAGAATGTGAAGTATTCCAAGTCCTACTTTGTGGTTATGTGCCTGAGGGCTCCCACCATTCTCTTTCACTTAGCAAAACCCAACAGCCTAAAGACTTATTCCCAGAGGGATAGAAGTATTCTCATAGATTTTATTGTGTAAAATATATATAGCATAAAACTTACCACCAATCATTTTAACCATTTCTAGGTGTACAGTTCAGTGGTGATGTACTACATTGACCTTGTGTAACTGTCTCCATAAATCAAAACTCTGTCCCCACCCAACAATAATTCCCTTAGGGCCAGTGATTGGAAGCCACCACTCTACTTTTTGTCTCTCTGAATCTATTTCAGGTGCTCTATATAAGTGAAATCATGCAACATTTGTTCCATTTGTGTTTAACTTACTTTACTGAGTACAATGTCACTAAGGTGCATTCGTGTCACGGCCTGTGTTGGAGTGTGCCTCTTTCTTAAGGCTTGGGAATGCCAAAGCCACCCACACACCACATTTTGCTTATTCATTCATCAGCCAGCAGATACCTGGGCTGTCTCTGCCTTCTGGCCAGCATAAGAGCTATGAATAGTGATATATTAATTCAGTGCCCTTCTTTCAATTCTTCTGGTGGTATATTCAGAATGTGATTTCCAGATTCATGGCATAAGATTTAATATTTATTTATTTATTTATTTCTGTTTGGCCAGCTCAGCCGGTCCTCAGGGCAGGGCTGGCATGGCATGTGGTGCTGGGATCTAACTATGGTCCCCTGCAGCTGCCTAAGTTGGCCAAAGCAGGCACTTTAGACCACTGAGCTAGGTCACTGGCTCCAAGATTCTATGTTTAATATTTTGAGAAACCATTATATTGCCTTCTACAGTGAGAAATCTTATCTTAAGAGTTATTTTTATGGCAAAACTGCTCCGTGGTCTGAATTTTCACTTGCTTGTCACTATGCCTGTCTGAAAAGACTGACCACAGCATGTTTAAAGGGTACGCCAATCAAGAATTATCTTTGAGGGTCATGGAGACAGCTCAGTGGTCTAAGCTCCTGCCCAGGCAAGTGCAAGGACCCGGGTTCAATCCCTGGCACCACATGCTGTGCTGGCCCTGCCTTAGGCACTCCAAGCTGGCCACCAAGACCAGGTGTGGTGGTGTATCCCTGTAATCCCAGCACGGAGGAGGCAGAAACAGGAGGATCACTATGAGTCTAAGCTGTGTAGTGAGACCAAACACATAAAATAAATACATAAAATTTTAAAAAAGAATTATTTTTGGAAATAGTAGAACAAAAGATATCTTAGAGTTGAGGCTTATTATCTATCTTTGTCACCGTTCACAAATTTTTATGATACTGATTTATTTTAATCTCATGATTTGTGTTTTATAGCAGTTTATAGTTTGCAAGGAGCTCTACATACACTTGCAAGCAGGTGCCAACGAAAGCCATCACTGACCTCCCCTACGGAGACAGCAACTCCAGCCCAGACCCCAGACTGAAGCCTTAGTCTATGTACTGCTACATTTTCTTTTGTGCTTATTATACATTTCAGCAATCCTGCTATACTCAAATGTTACATATTCCAAATTCGCCTGCGTGAACTCACGTGTTTGCTCCCATTTGTCACCCCAGAGTTCCCACGCACACTGAACACCAGTGTGTTTCATAAGTGCTTGTGAAACGGACTCAACAAATTAACCAGGACACAGCCTCAAAATGCTCTAATTAGCTTCGGCCTCCCATGAACGAGACACACATGTTGTTGAGGAAGGAGCCCATGGGCAGAGACCTCCTGACTGGTCAGCACCCTGCAGTGCGGGAACAGAGGCAAGGATTCTTATGCAGTCACTTGCCCTCTTTAAAGTTTTGATATTTGTGTTACAAACAGAAGACTTTTCATCAAATGACAGCTTTTTCACACATTAGGTGACTAAGTATAACTCATGGAGAGTTCTAAGTAAAGCAAGTAAGTACCAGCCAAAAATTCTAATGCAAATATTCACTTGAAAAGAAAGAATTTGGAAGAAAATTGGAAAGACTAGTAATTCCAAGTTCATTAATGCAGGAGCAAACACCAACCACCCCAGGAGAATGATTTGTAATTTAAATGTTTAATTCTGAAGAACATAGAAAAAAGAAAATGTGATTTCTTCTAGGAAAGCATTAGAGTTTCCCTGACTGTTAGGAAAGTCTATTTTGAATATCTCAAAATGTGCTAGGCCTGCCTCCTTTGATTATACTATCAGGAGAAATGGAACATTGATGCCATTCCTTTGTCTGACAAGTTTTTTTTTTTTTTGCATTTAGTGCAGGGTCTACAGGGTCTCACTATGTAGATCAGACTCGTAGTGATCTTCCTGTTTTCAGTCTACCAAGTGCTGGGATTACAGGCAGGTGCCACCATGCCCAGTCTCAATTGCCTACTCAGTGTGCCCTGGGGGCATGGCCGGCATGGCAGGCTGAGGATCGAACCCTGGCTGCTGAGCTCTGCCTAAGCAGGCGCTTTAATCCACTGAGCTATCTGGCCAGCCTGTCTGACAATTCTTCACTCATGCGGGCTGAAGATGGTTGTTAGATGTCCAGCATGCGGTACAGTGCTTAGCCCAAGAAAGAGCACGCAAGAGTTAGGGAAATTTGGATATGGGCTGTTTGCATGCTTAGGACTATCTAAGGAAACATTTTGCATACTGCACCTTGTTCTTTAGTATACCGAATGGTAAACATATACATTTAATCTATTTCTAAAATTTCAGGTGTTGTCTTACACGTCTATACTTGCTGGGCATATTGATCAATATTTTGATTGAAAAAATAAAGCTACTCTGAACTAGTCTGCCTGGCTCGCTTTTATTTCTTTACTGCTGTATTGCCCAGCACAGAGGAGGAAAACCAAAGATGTGTGTTGCAAGAAGGAATGTTTGGTGTTAAGGCTGGAAGTAACTGTAACACTGAAAAATACTTTCACAATTCAGAGGGACATTTTCTACGTGCTGGGAGAATTCAGAGCACCGCTGCAGCTTGGATGTGCCTCCCAGAAGCCAAGCCTTGAGCACTGGGCCGCCGGCGTAGCACTGCTGAGAAGAGAGGCCTAGTGGACGGTACCTCGATCAGGATGGTGAAGCTCTGGTGAGCAGGCTAACGGCACTGCACGGAGGAGCTGCAGGCAGGGGTCGCTTCTCATGCCCAGGGCCTCCCGCTCCTGCCTCGTGCTGACGTGAAGAGAAGGCCCTGGCCCAAGGCTGGAGCCTTGGCTTGAACTTCCTGGCCTCCAGAACTGTGTTTGATACACCTCTCTTTGCTACCAATTACTCTGAGGCAGGTATTTTGCGACAGCAGCATGCAACTATTCAGTGCAATATCTTCCTTTCTCTGTATCTTGTTGGAGACATAAGTAATTTTTTAAAAAAAATTTTATTTTATTTTATTTGTGTGTGTGTGTGTGTGTGTGTGTGTGTGTGGCCAGCTCAGCCCACCAGGGGGCGGGGCTGGCTGGCATGTGGTGCTGGGGGATTGAACCGCGGTCCCTGTGCTTTGCTAAGCTTGTTCTAAGTAGGTGCTTTAGACCACTGAGCCATCTCACCAGCCCGACATAAGTAATTTGACATCTGACATTTGACTTTGTTTGCTTGCCTTCAAATGACACTGCTCAAAATGATCAAATTAGAGAGGCAAACTATTGGAAAAGAAATAGCAGTAGAAGTAAAAGCAACTCTGAAAAACTTATGAAATTATTGAAAGCCTGGAATTCCTTGTATATTGCTAGTTTCCATTTAGGTTTGCCAGTGGTAACCAGGTAGTATTAACTTTGGTAACAATAATGGGGCAAAACTAATTTACCTCTTTCAGTACCTGTTTTCTTATCTCTAAAACTAGGGTACCTCAAGGCAGATTTGTGGAAATTAAATGACAGCAGACATATAGTGCTTAATTCCTGACATTAGTAAGTAGTCAATAAACAGATTTTTGGCAGTTTAAAGTTAATATTTTTGTGTCTTGATCAAAACCAACCTAATTAATGTACTTAAAAAATTACAACATGTCAAGAATTTTGAGAGAGAACCTATTAAAACATTTGAAGATAGAATACAGGTTTTACTTTCAGAATAAGGACAGAAGAGGCTGGATTTAAGAGTTCTCAGCTTTTTCAATATGAACTCTGTCTACTGTGGTCTAAAGAGCCTCCATCCACCCTCATGGGCTGGGAGGGCTCGTCCACCTTCCAGTAGGGCATTTACAGGACTCTGTGAGTGATTAGATGGAAGGAATAAAGGAGAACAAGGCCTGAAGGATGAACTCTGGATTTCTAGAATGAGAAAGCAGATGCCTGTGGAGCCACTAACCCACGGGGACATCAGGTTCCTCGGTCCACTGTTCCCTCCTTCAACAAAAGAGACTGCCAGATACACACTTATCTTCTGTTATCATCTGTTCATAAAATCTAGCGCCAGGGTCAGCCCCACTGCTACCACAACACGGAGTAGTTTGACTCGCCCTATAACCTCCTCAGATCGCTGCTTCACTTTTATGCAACTACTTAGCGCCCATCCGCTGTCCTAGATCCTGAACTTGGCTGTTGTGGCCCCGGAGGTAAATGAGCCGCGTTGGTGAGCTCTGTCCGCACACAGGAGAAGAGAGGTTTTCTGAGTAGAGCAGATGCGACTGTCAGTTCTGCCCAGAATCGTTGGAAGGTTCCACAGAGATGAAATCTAAGCTGGTGGAGAATTAAGGGAGCAAGAATGGGGCTACACTATAGTTGGAGGAGAAGGAGTAGGAATGTAAAATTTTTCCTGAAGGTCTTAATTTTCTTGGAACGTAAGAGCAACATATTGAAATGACGGTGGGCAGGAGTGGGTGAGCAATCTGGACTCAAGTGGCAGAGATTAAAATAAGCACTAGAAGGGAAGAGAAACAAACTGTCTACGGGCAAGAAAAAGTGCTGCTAAGCTGTGTTGACACGGGCTCTCAGTGTCCTTGAAAACCACGGTCTGAAGTGGCATCTGTCAGCGCCGTGGGAGTAACTTCCTCCCCACCCATGGCATTCCCTGGGCAGGGTTCCACCAAGCTAGTGGTGGTCTCTAGATGTGTGCAGAGCGCATGACAGGGCACAGCAAACGAGGGAGAGCAGGTTCCTCCATTCAGACCACACTACAGTGAGCCATAGGACTCAGGTGGGAACATGGGGTCCGCACCCCAACTCACCATTTGGCCTGTTCTCTGCTAACACCTAAGCCAGCGCCTGGGTGGAGAGTGGTTCTGTCGGTTGGCTTTTCAGTCCAAAGGAGCTGACTTGGGTCTAAGGCAGAGGCGGGCAGATCAGCTCCGTTGCTGACCAGGACCACGGGAGTGTCTGGGGCCACAACGCACTGGTTCTCAAGGAGCAGAGGAGGGGCGGGCGGGGAAGGCAACGCGGCCGCGGGAGGCGGAGGGGCGGCCGGCGTGGCTCTGCCTGCGCTCTGCTCCTCGGGCCCAGGGACAGTCTGCTCAGGCTGGAGACGCTGCACCCCGGCCTCCGAAGGCTGTCCTCTGGGATCAGATGCCCCAGTGGTCCCGGTGTCTGGGGAGACGCAAGAAGTGGATGGTTGTTTGCCAGGCTTCTTCTTGCCCTTCGTGGTCCCCGCTGTCCCTGTTTTGCTAGAAACTGTCTCTTTTGAAGCTTTCGGACGTGAAGAGGTGGACGAAGTAGACGGGGAAGCTGAGGCTTTGGAGCCGGTTGTTTTTTTGGAATGAGAAGAACCAGCTAAAAATAGAGAGATTTTGCATTAAAAACTGAAGAATAGAAAGCTTTTCAAATAAAGTAACAGCTGCCATTGGCACAGACATTTAAAACGCTCCCTTTAAAATTTGTTGGATAGGGGCTGGAGAGATGGCTCAGTGGTCTAAAGCACCTACTTGAAACAAGCTTGGCAAAGCACCAGGACCGCGGTTGGATCCCCAGCACCACATGCCAGCCAGACCCGCCCCCTGGTGGGCTGAGCTGGCCACACACACACACAATAAATAAATGTAATAAATAAAAATAAAAATAAATATTTAAAAAAAATAAATAAAATAAAATTTGTTGGATAAATAAATGAAAGCAAATTGGCTAATAGTGCTAATAGTCTTGTTTTCAACCCCCTCCCTCTCTGTGCCTCTCATCTAGGAGGGAGGAAGCGACACAAGGGGCTACGCTGAGAAGTGAGGGCCTGCTATCTTCTTCCTCTAGTGTTTGGCTGGACCAGCAAGAGGGCAAGTCCTCAGCTCGATGTCCCACAGGTCACCTGAAAAAGTTTCCCTAGGCTCTAGAGATGTTGTGGAGATAGTGGAGAAGACCATCACCAGTAGCAAGCCCACAGCTGGGCTCTTCAGAAATTTTATGTGTCTACAACTCCTACTTCTGAGGCCTGGGTATATATCACCAGCTTCTTTCCGGGTCAAAAGCAAATTCTTTCATCCCACTGCTTAGAGTCCACTTCCAATCAATTGTTCCCCTAGTTCCAAAGAAGGAAGCCTGCCTGCGCCTCTACCTCCTCCCACTGAGGCTGCGTGGGTGTTAGACTACCTTCCAAAGGTCAAAAGCCAGGGAAGTTGTTTTTATTCCAAAAATGTTTACATTGGTAGTGTTGAACAATTCAGAAGGAAGAACTGACTCTACCTTTGAAAGCCTCATTTCCCCTACTACTCATACCATCTCCAGTGGATGGCTGGTGCCCTTGCCTGTGATGGACAGTGCTGGCATGAAGCAAATTATTTTCAGGAACACAAAGTCAATTGTCCTCATCTTTCTGTCATCTTAGGTCACATACTCAAACTCGTGTGAAGATACTCTTATTGTTCCAAGGCCTTTGTGAACTATAACTTCTTTTGAGTTGTTTCTTCCCTTATAAATGCTGCATATTTCTTCTTTTCACTGGTGTACGGGGGTTAAACACTCATAGACTATTAGAAAAATATCTTCTTAATACTATGGACCCAGAGACTCAGGTCAACAACTTCTGACATTGCCAGTCAAGCAGAAAACCCAACACTATTATGGACTACTGGACTCTTTTGGAATATTTTGCTGAGTTCACACACCTATACTATTTAAATGATGAAACTAAACAAAAAAGGGGATACAGATGAATGAATGACCATTTTGTATCTGTGTATTCAAAATGGTTAGGATAGATATATAGCTACATTCTCTTAATTCAAGGAATGAGGGATTTTTTCTAAAAGTGTTTGTAAATAGGGTATCACGTCTGCATCTTGTACAACAAATAACCACTAGGAAGGCAGTATGCAATGTGTAAACTATTGGAATTGTCCTACCAATTTGATTTGAAACTGTCTCATTGCACTTCTCAATAAAATCATGGGAAAAAAATGCTATTGAAATACTATGGAACCAACCTGCATTGAAGACAGATGTTACAGTAACTTACCTGAGTATAACTTCATTGAAGTCAATTGAGAAAGTTGAGATGAAGAATGAATAAAAAAGTAGACAGTGACACGCAAGACTTCATGAATTTGATATGCAGAAAATGCTGATGTCAGTTAGTGTCAAGATCCAGGCTTAACAGGAACATCTTGTTTTGAGATCTTCACAATTTAGATATGCAAAGTAGCTAGAGCCCTCCCCCATCTTAACTTGTTACTGTTTCTTTATAGTTAACCTTTATTTGCATACAAACAATTCATTATGCATACTCTTTCAATTTAAACTGTTTAATTTTTTTTGCAGTAAGCATAAGGATTAGATGCCTAAATACAGTCCATTATTTCCTTAAGCAGAACATCTGTAGCATATGAATCTTAATAATTTTTTGGGAAAAAATTTTTCATATCCAAAAGGAAGTTTAACTTTAGGCTGTCTTTTAAGGAAAATGGTAATTTTTCAATGCCTGCAGCACAATTTCAAGCCATATTATATTTTTAAAAATCATATCCTAAAATGACAGGACTTGGCTGAACTCAACTTACACTTTAAAAAGTGCCACCTCTCAGCTAAGAACTTCTGTTGTTAATAATGTGTAATAGAATGGGGAAAAAAAAAATACGGGGACTTGGCCTTACCTCCCTGAGAAAGTTGCAGAGTGTTCCAACCTGACAGACAACATGGTTTAAGGACTTAAAACTTCTGACTAAAAATCAAGAATCTGAACTAACTTTTCTAGAAGGTCAACATTATTTAAACAACAAAAGAAAATTCTAGATGGATACACATGGAGCATCAGCCAGGTTCTGAGGAATATTATCCATATTGTGGAAAAGGATTCTTTACAGTGGTCTTCCTGTTATTTTTAATGCAACGCCTGGTGCTAGAACAGTCATATTCTTCCTTGTGTGAGGGCCCAACTCTCTTCTATGGCATCCAATGGATCAAGGGACTACTGCTCTCTTAGGAACAGCAAAAGTTGAAGTATGGAGATGAAGAGTCTCTAAACGCTCAGGTAAGATATCTGCAAGTAACTAAAAGATCTGTCAGGAAAGCCGCCCTGCCATGACATTCCTGGCCAGCTGCTTCAGAGAGCCCCAGCTGAGACCACAGCGAGCCCCATCATGTGGGGAAGGGGAAGTGGGACACTGAGCAAGACAGCACCTCAAGGCCAAGGGCACACGGACCAGCAGGGCTTTCCTTTAAGTAGCAGCAGCTCAGTGCCAGCCTCACTCCGGGCACTGCTCCTGAATGCTGCCAGGTGGTCTAGGGGACACACAGAAAACAAGCTGGAACACTAAGGCAGGAAAGGAAGTGGTCCCAGGGACTACTGCCAAATCAATCTGAGACATTTTATTTATTTATTTTTGCGAAACTGAGGATTGAACTCAGACCCTTGCACTTGCCGGGGAAGTGCTTATTCTACTGAGCCATCTCCCCGGCCCCGACATTTTATTTTAAAGACTCAGATCTAAAGAGCAAAAGTGGGATGAAAGGATCCCAGGGAGAGAGATCTATTTGCTTTCAGAGAACAGTTAACACTGTCAATGAAATCATTCTCTGAATTTGAGTATTATGGGTATGAACTACAAGGAAGAAAACCCAGCACCCTGGTAAGCCATTGCTACAAAGTTGCTGCTGATTTTAAGGAAAATAAGACTTGTTACAGTAAGGAGACTTTTTATGCCTGCTTATGGTAGAAAGCCACTGAGTATGTGGAGTTGAGGAGTGTCCCTTTAAAGGCTAGATGACGTGGTAGGCATCTCCACTCCCCACTTCTCTAGGGGCACCAATCTACATTAGGAGTATCTAATTGGAAAGGAATGCTGGACGACCAAGACATGAAGTTAAATATAACAGGCAAGTCAAGCATCCTACTGGTGATTTATATAGAAACTTGTCTATTATAAAGGATGCTTTGCTTTAGAGCAAACTGAAATCTACTGAGGGCGATGCAGCAGCAGGAGTACTGAGCATATAACTTTTCACTCACTGAGTTGTTTCCACTGCAGCAGAAACCAGTGAGATGGAGCTGAGTCACAACCTTGGCCACTTCTCAGAAGAGGGATGACTGTGGATGCTGAAGAGTAATGCGTTCTAAGCCAGCAAAGACGTCAAAGACGTGTCATTTCCTCATAGGAATCGAAGTGTTTTGAGTGCAAATCCAAATGAAAAAGCCAGCCACAAAATCTAGCAGGCAGAAGATCCATCAGTATCTAAATGATGTTATATTAGATCTTCATCAAACATCAGACATACTGCACCCTGTATCCTTCAACTGGGTCTCGCGTACCAAGAGCGGATACCAAGATGGACGAGCCCTGTTTATCAGAACTGAACAAGAGGAACTAATAAGCAACAGGCTGACTTTCTTCCAGCAGTCAGCTACAAAGGAATCTCCTGTCCTTCTTTGGTTTTGTTAACCTTATTTTTATTGTATATGTTTCCAATGCATAGTGATTATATCCATTGCAGAGAGCTGAGACACATATATAATACATCTTAATTCCTTTTAAATCCCTTCCCCCTTCCTCCTTCCTTCTCTTGGTCCTCTTCCAATCTGCAAAGGATCCCTTTCTTTCATACTATTTTTTATTTTGCTCTATAATTTATTTATACTTCTGAGTTTCTCACATAAAAAGTGTGACATTTAAGCTCGTATGCCTGATTTATTTCACTTAACATTATGATCTCAGGGTGCATCCATTTTCCTACAGATGACTCACATGTATATTTCTTTAGAGCAGTGTAGTTATCCTCTGTGTCAAAGCTGAATCCGCTGGTGTTGACCCTAAGACACCAAAAGTCCTCCTGTCCTCAAAGAACAGAGTCCCCTCCCGGAGCCGAGCCCTGGACTCGGCCGCCCCGTGTACTGGGGTGTACTCACCAGCCTCTTGGGTTGTGTTTCGGCTCGTTGGCTTGGGCGGAGGGACGGGGACCTGCTTGCCAGGAGCCTTGGCATGTTTTTTAATGGGAGGCACTTCGTCACCTTTGTGGCTGGGCCCAGCAGCGGCCCCTCTGGTAGGCACGGGTGATTTTTTGGGTTTAGGTTTGGGTTTAGGCTTAGGAGGAGCTGGAGGAAGTGGAACAGGAGCTGCCGGTGCTTCAGATTGGTTTTCAGTGTTCTCTATAAATGAGAAAGTGAGCAGAGCAGACTGATAGACACACACGACAAATGGCAGGAGAACACACGAGCACGGGAGTACACACTGCGGTGCTTGGCTCTCGGAAACCAGACAGATTCTGCACCAGAGACGGCGAAGTTTGGGCTAAAAATAAAGACTGAAAGACAAACTCAAGTGTATTCTCTGGGTCCATCAATCATTCTCTTATTAAAAAACAGTGACACAATTACTCTGATGAGGGTACACTAGAGGAGGAAAGGCCTGTAAGTCAGGAGTCTTGGGTCCAGCCTCAGACCTGTGGCCGCTAGGTGACAGCAGGGCACTGAGTGCCAACTAGAACAAGTGCAGTAACTTGGCAAAACTGTAGGGTGCTCAAGAGTGACAGATGAGAGTGTCACATACACCCCCAGAGGCACCAGAGAGAGCAAAGCCACGGCAATGACTGGACTCACACTTACTTCCCAGAACTCAAGCCCAGTCAACTTGAAAGGGATTTGTTTTTCATCTCAGTGTGGCCAAAAATCAGTGATGCTCTAAGCTATGGGAGGCGCAGAGGCCAGAGCAACGAGCCGCTTGCTACTACAGAGTGCTTGCCTGCTCTCCTGGCAGGCAAGGGCAGCTTCCTGCTCAACAGGAACTTCCTCTGCCCTCTTAAAGGAGTGCCACACTGTGGGCAAAGAACCCAAAAGAGATATGCCTTGTCTTATAATGCTACACAAATGATGACTTTGAAAAGACATAGCCAAAACCGTACCAAAACACAGCAGCCCCCACTGGTTTTGTGTAACTGGAGGAGATAAAGTTACTGCCCACTAAAGAAAGTGGAGATGCCAAGGCACATTCATATATTTGCATCTGTATTTTTTTCTACTAATGACTGCAATTATAATAAATTTTAAGAACGATCTGTTTCCAAGAGCAAAGCAGCATTTCTTTTAATATGAAGCACAATATAAAAACATAAGACAGTGTCAGGACCAGACTGGGCCTTAATTGGATGTACCTTGCCATGTTTAAATGATCCAGAAAAGGGTTCTAAAACTGGCAAGCATCATTATTTATTGTCAATTTTTGTTTCTTATTCTAGTGACTCTAACATGGGTATTTCACTTTTTCTAACCCATCTGCTAATCAAACCACACACACACACACACACACACCCATTCCAGTGGTTTGAATTACAGAAACTAATCAATAAAGCTTAGAGAGTTCCTCAGCCAGGAAACCCTCCCCAGTCACTGTGGCCCAAAGTGACTGCTCTCTCTCCCTTCTCTATTTGGCTACATTGCACGAGACACTATGTCAACACTCATCAGAGGCCACGTTGTCCTTTCGCCACTCTGTCTATGCCTCTCCCCTCCTCCACTGAGCCACTTAGCATTTATAATAAAATAGCCTCCTTATGAACCTAATTGATCTGCAACAGCGGCAAGCCATCACCACAGTCCATTAGAGGGTCGGGAATGAAGCAAGCCAACACACAGATAGAACATTAAACTTTAACCTAAAATATAGAAGGTACATTGACTTGCCAATCTCGTTGTGTGGGGGAAGCCTACCATTTCAAGCACGTCTGTGGAACTTCGGCCTCTAGCATGTTACCCTGCATGGACACTCAGCCCTATCATATTGTCCAAGGGAACGCAAGGTAGGCTGTGGTCCTCAGCATCTTAATTTAGCCTCCACACTGAAAGCGCATGTCTCAACTTTCCCCTTTATGACAGGGGCCTGTTTTGCTTTCTGCTTGAGGTATTATTATTATTATTATTATTATTATTTGGCATAACCGGGGATTGAACTCAGACCCTTGCACTTGTTAGGCAAGCTCTTATTCTACTGAGCCATCTCCCTGGTCCCCTGCTTAAGGTTTTAAATTCTACAATTATACACATATAGGTTGAGGATGTAGCTCAAGAAAAGCACACACTTAGCACATACGAGGCCCTAGGTTCAACTGCTAGCACCACAAACATGTAAGAATAAAGCAAGTGAAATACAATCCCTAGGAATTCAGCTTCTGGGTCTGGCACAGAAGAGATGGTTCCCTCTGTGGCTGCTGGGAATGGAAGTCCCCAAGGGAGCGACAGGGAGCACACTGCACATGGACTCTGCTGGCTTGCTGGAGAGCACGGGCTCTCTCTGCTCTTTGGATTCTACTACCAGTTATGTGTGAGTGTTGCCACTGTGAGGAGACCTTGGTTGTGTTTCTATTTGTGTGCAAAGAGTATGATTTTCTGATTACATGAAAAGCCTCTTTGGTCTGAAATTCACATCCCATGGAGTCCTATGCTCTTCCAGTCACATGTACTCACTGGAAGGGACTCTGCCTGGCAACTGCTGACATGCAGTCAGTGGGAAACTCTCTTCACTGATACGTGGGAGGTGGGAGGTAGTAAATTTCTTTCCCATTACCGTGATCTGAAGACATGACATAAACTGATGGAGTAAAGGTGCTTAGTGAAGAGCTGCCTCTTCCTGCTGGCTTCATAAGAACACAAGCCTTCAAAACAACACAGGCTAGAAGACAATTTGTCTGCCACACTTCCGGCTTGGATCCTTCACCATATAAAAGGTGATCCCAACAGTGCTCGGAGGTCACGAGGGCTGCGTGCGTTCTGCACCTGTCCTAGCATGCGTTTCAGGTCCAGGTCCCCTCCATCAGCACACTGCCTCCTTCAGGTTTTAGTTTCGAAAGGTCCTCCTCTCACAAACAACTCTGCTTCCCATGCCAGCTCCCCTGGCCGGCAGCACCAGGCCTTTTGCAGTACTTGGCATTTGTATTGTGTCCACACAGCGGTGGTCGCCTCTCTTCCTAGGCCAAGCCCTGCTCAAGGACAGAGGCCGCTTTTCATTTTCCATTCCTTCCCTGATCTGCCCCCCCATCTCATTCACAGTAGGCCTTCATTATCACTTGGGGAACAAATAATTATTCATCAGTGTAATTTCATTAAAAGCTCTTTCAAAGAGCTCAGTAGAAATAATGTGAAATAATTTTCAGATTTCCCACATTTAACACCATGCTATATTTAGCAGATTGTAGCGCAGTTTTTCTGCCTTTTATGATGTAAGGCTATTTAGTAGGAAAGAATAACGGAGACCGTGAGCCCCACAAACCTGAAGGAGGAAATCTCCAGTGTTAGGAGAAGGATGCCTCAAGCCTCTGTACCAACTACGGAATCAGGGCCCTTCGGAACCCCAGACACGCCCGGCGCCCTGGGCAGAATCTCACAGGATGGGTGTGAAGGCTACTGTCTGCCATGCTGTTTTGCTTCCTTCATCACTGATGTCTCAAATGGTAAAATACTGAGGTGAGATCGTATACGGAGACACCACGAGCACCCAGGCTGCTACAGGCATGTGTGTGGCTTTGCACATGCCTTTATGCAGGAAATGCTTCTTTTGAAATCTGGACAGTCAGCGAGTGCCGGTGACACCCACACAGCCAGGGACCAACCACAGAGGGATTTGAAATTTAACGATTTAGTGAGACAGCACAGTTACACTTAAACACAAAACATTGCCATTTGCACTCACCTCAACTGAATCTCTTTAAAATTTAAGTCTACTTTCTCCTTCCAGGCCAGAAATATTATTATTGAGAGAATCAGTTAATTTTTCATAATCAGTGTTCATAAGTGCAACTAGTATGCGTCAGTGGAACAAGACTAAGTGATGTCCCATGAACACTGTGCTTCACACCAAAAGAAAATAAAATAATACATATTTAACAGATCATTAACATAGGCTTCCAAAACTGTGGAAGGTACTCTATTTATTTATTTATTTAATTTTACTTTTTGGTACTGGGTATTGAACTTGGAACCTTGAGCTTGCCAGGCAGGCACTTCTGCCAGTGAGCTATCTCCCGGGCCTGAAGGTAATTTATATGCAAATAAGTACATGTTCGGGGAACTTCCAGAGAAGATACTTTTAAATTATCAGATCTAATAAAGCCATCAAAAGCCCTTTTGTTTTCTTTGTCTTTGGAGGATTTAGGTCAAGAACAGAGGAAGAAAAGTTCACTTTTGCAGCTTCTAAATTATCAAAATACCTACAAAACTCAAAGAAGCGCTGACCAATTTTTGCCATCCCACCTAGGGGCAGACCTTAGAGAACAGGACAGCCTATTCCCTGAGGATGCCTGTCAGTGCAGCGTGGGGTCACCAGCGTAGCATGAAAGTCCCAGGAAAACCTCTTCCCGTGAGATCTCAGCTCCAGGTTGCACAAGTGAAGTTCTGGACAGACAGACAGACGCAGGCCCCGGATCTACCGCAGCACATTCACTCTGGAAACCAAAGTCTCCACAGCAGCCTTTGGGGGGACAGCACAATTGTCCCTGGCACATTCTGAAATTTCCAACTGAACAGACAAGTCACAGAACAGAGGGTGGGGAAGGATGCAATCCCTGCCATCCCTGGGAAGTGTTCCTGGGTCTCTTTCAGAAAAAAACGTCTAGAATCTACAATCTGGGGCATGTGGACTTCGGCAGCCAAGTCCCAGCGCAGGAGAGCGTGCCTGGCTAAGAGCCTCGCAGGCTCTGGTACGTGCTGCTCTTCGCTGAGCCGCTCCCAGGAGCCAGCTGGACCCACTGACAAAGTTGTTCAGACTTCTCATGCTTGGGAGCCTGACAAAAACCTCCTGAGAAAAGTGAATATTCCCAGACATTGCAAATGCTTGAAGAGTCCAATGATTACCTCTCATCAGCCCTCTGTAGTAGTAAAACAACCAACACCAGGCTTATAAAATGGAGGCGTCTTTCTGAGAAATCATTTCTTTCTTTTCCCTGGTTATTATTTCTCTTTGTAAACCACTGGCTTTAGGGTCACTATGTGGAGCCAAAGCCCTGGCTCTCGATGCTGAGCTGCACTGGAGGGAGCAATGCGGGTTTCTCTTTATTTTACCTTTCTTATCTTCTGCCTTTTCCTCCCGAGGTGGTGTTTTCTCAGACACAGAGCCATTACCTTCTTCAGACTTCCCTACATTCTCCTCTCGGGTAGATTCCTCTCCGATGGGGATCATGTGCCCGTTTGAATTTTCAAAGTTAACTGTTACATCTCCATCTAAAATGGGAAAGAAACACCTAGAGGTCTAAGTTGATGGCCTTCTTATAAACCAGTTTCCAGGCTGATACAATGTAGGGTCTGGGTTTGTAGGTCTGTCCCTGGGAACCAATCACCACATCTTACTAAACAATTTATTATTTTTTTTTAAGCTAGAAAATCCTTAATCTTGGGAAAAGTAACTGTAGAGGGGAGGAAAAAATTCTCATTTCAAGACAGTAGAAGCAATTAGCCTAATTCTAGGGTCCCCAGAGCGGAGGAGTGTCTGTTCTAGGGCTTAGATTTTGCTGATGTCAGTATTTCGGTGTTTTATTGTTATCCAGGAACTGACTGGTGAAAGAACAATCTGCAAAATGGAATAAACATTTTAACATGCACTGAAAACACAAGGTACACAAATAACATGAAATGTAATTACACATACAAACAATCAGTGGGACAATAAGAAATTTCCCAGCACCACCATCTTCAGAAACTATTATTATATATAATAATTCTAATTTCACACAGATATAACGCTATGCTACTCTGTGTCCAGAGACTAAATGGTTCATTTTATTTTTATTTCCTTATTTATGGAAACACTAAAATATGCTCAGGCAATTGTGACATATGTAACTAACCAAAAAGTCCTTCAGAGAGCATAATCACTAAAAAAATACTAGGAGACAAAAAACATATAAAGGAATTGCAGAGAAATTTTACAAAATAACTTAACAAAATTTCTAATATACGTCATAAATATTTTGATCTCTGACATTTCATATTTTCTGAGGGTGTTTAAAGTGAAAAAAAAATAAGGTGAAAGAGGTTTTTCAGAAACTTAATTCAGTAATATTTGAAAGGATTACACTTAAGTTCACGTGTGGAAAAATGTAGGGGGTTCTGCTGTGACCATAAAAGCAAAACTAAGCAACTGAAGTCCTGACTGGGCGAACTTGAAGAAATGCCCAATTAGAGCTGCTTTCATGCAATTTTTGGTGAATCTTATTTTGACAGTCATTATAAAACACAGACCATTTTGCAAATTTTCATTGGTTTGGCTCAGCAATAAAGTTCATTGGCCTTCTGGACAAAAGTAGGCAGATCATTTTAATGAGTAAAATAAATATGGAATTGTGTCCTGCTCAAATGAAAATGCTTCATTACATGACATTTCATTCTTTGTATAAAAATCCTCATTTTTTGGTTACACAAATAAAACTTATGTTGTTTTCTTTGATTTTAGTTGGTAACAAACACATATTAAAGTCATGTTAATGACAATTCAATTGAATATTAAGCAGTTCTATTTAAACTCTTTAGTTGGTTAAGTAACTGATTTCTTAAAAAAATAAAGATAGGAAAATAGTTGGGTTACAAGAAGAAATTGTATTATCATATGATAGCAATAGTCAAAAATGTGAAAAGATACTTACTTTGAAGCACTAATAAAACTAATATCATAAATATAACTAGAAAGAGAGATGTGTCTGTAATAAATAGGGAATTCTAGAAAGAAACAGAAGAACTGAAGGTATTAACTAGCTTATTACTGAAAACATTCCCTAATATTGTGTGTTAAGAAAATAGTCTCAGAATTGAAACAGGTTGTGTCCTTGATACAGGGACATATGGAAGCAAACATAAGCACAGAGCATGCTGAGCTCGATGGGGGTGCAGGGGGAGGCCCAGGCCCACACGCCTACGAAAAGGACAGAGCTCAAGTCACGGCAAACGTAAAGGCAAAAGAAAGCACAAATGAGTATGTGTTTGGAGGAGCTTACCTCTTTCTGTCAACAGGGGCGCAGGAGAAGGAGTTAATGGAAGGCCAGCCGTGAGGAGGAAACTGTCTGGCTCCCAGGTAAGGGAGTCATTAGAAAGGGTAAAATGACGCATGAGAGAGCGAGAAAGGAGCAGGGCAGGGAGGCCAAGACCGTGATACCCGCACGTCAGGGTGGAGAGGAAAGATGGCAGGCAAGAGCAGGACATAAGAACTGACCTTGGACTAGACTACGTGTCACATCTCAGGGCTGGGACACTGATTGCATTTAGAAGTTGGTATAAAAAAGACAATCTAAATAAAATACTAGTAACAGCTGAGCGCCAGAGTGTGGGATAGGGTTGGCTGAGGTCAAAACCTGGAAAGATTTAAAAATTCTATCTGATCCAGGAGAAAGGGCCATAACTGACAAGCACCGCCAACGTCCCTAGCAAGGTCAAGAAGATCAATGCTAAGAGTGAGGCTGCACTGGTGGGACAGAGAAGGCTGTCACCAGAGTGGCGGCTCCTGGTCTCTCCCACAGGAATTCTCAGGGTTTGTAAAATTGATAGAAATTTATCTTCTCCAGCCCATGGTTGAAAAGCAATGATTTATTTACAATAGGTCCCTCAGGACTTTGAAATGTTATCTAATTTTTATAGTTCTATATGGGGATCACATAAAAGGTAGAAGAAAGTGGATTAGGATTTCCCAAACATTAAGCCTTCCTCTTATGTTTAGGTTCAAAAGTGATGTGTTCTTTTACGTTTTAAAACTTCTAATGGTCAGCTACAAAAGTTATATGTAGTTGTCTAAGAGAGTCACATTTCTAAGAAATAAGCATATGTTGTCTAAATAGTTTAACAGATTAAACAAAACAAAAGCCAATTGGTATTAAGCATTTTTCAAAAACTGACCATTGTTACTTATTTTCAGAAAAAGTAGAACAATTTTCCACTCACAACTTTTAATTAGGAAAAATGGGCCATTAGTCTCTATCTTTAAATCTATTTTTAAATGGCAAATTTTTGCTTCTTGTCTTTATTGGAAATATTTGCAAATACAAGACATCAGATGAATGCACTGGATACCTGAGACTGATGGCTTGGTGTTCGGTAGCCAGTGGGTACTACTGCTTCTAGATAGACTGGACCTGGGGTGGATTCTGGTATTGGCATGCTTACCTTCCAATTAAACACGTTAAGGATTTGCATTTTTTATTTTGCAAAGTTCCAGACAGTAAGTAAATAGGTCAAGGTAATAGAAAATCAGACAAGACATATAGTTCATTTATAAAGTAGAGAGAGAAAAGTCTGACAGGTCAAAAATTAAGGTAAAATAGCTTGAAAGACAGTATTAGTATATTTTCTTGTGGTCACAGCCCCCTTTTCTGAGGTAGGGGGAAAACACTATGGCATTAGTGTTATTAGAAAAAAGATATTAGAAAAAGCATGCCATTTCAATGCATAAATAGCAAATGCCAAAAAACATTAAGTTCTTTCCAAAGAACATGCATCAGGAAAGGAGAAGTACTATTATTTAAATTCCAAATTAACAGTATTTTAAGTGTTCTCAAAGTTTCAATAATACTGCTTTCCTCCAATACACGTAGGAGGAAGAGCTGAGATAAATCAACAATGTTACAGCTGAATTCCTTTAGCTTTAACAGTGGTTAAAGATAAACATTATTTATTTGGAAAAATAGCAACATTGGCCTATTTTTTGAGGGGCAATCCTGGTTTCAATCTAGCCCCTGTCTTTTCTGAGTAAGATTTTCCCTTTGAGAGGTTAGAAGAAAAAGGAATGAAGATTAAGAGAAAGAAAAAAAAAATACTTGGAACTAATCCTTGTTAGTGACAGAGTAAGGCAACTAGATTCAGAGGAAAGGAAAGAAAATACAGGAAAAAATTACTTGAGAGAAAGAAGAACGTAGACTCACTGGCCCATTCATGCCTTACTGCATGCACATTTGAGCATATCAAAGAGGACAAGAGATGAGTTTGTCCTCTTTTTACTGATAGTCTTAAGAAACAGATAAGGCATGAGGAGAATAAAGCTGCATTTACTCAAGCAACTGAGTTTAACTCGAATGGAAAGATTAAAGCTTCAGAACAGAGAAGAGGTTATGTGAGCTTTGTATCTTTATCTGTATCTCTAGCCACCAAGGTTTGTTCTGAGCATGGTCTATGGTAAAGCTTCAGCAGAGAAGTCACTGGCTTTCTCTTCTGTAACACCAGGGATTGCCGCACTCGCAAAGACATGGCAAATTAAAGCAAGATTCCTGGAGTGCATTCCCCGCAGCTTTGTCTGACAAAGACCACAACTGCTTTAAATTTCAAAAGAAAATGAAAGAAAGGCCAGGGGATGAAGGAGCAAATTATTTTGAATTATGATTAATTTCCTCACCTTGATCAGGCAACTCCTTAATCACGCCCCTTCTTATCAGCTCCTCTCTACTTTGTCTGGTGGATATCTTCCTCTCTAACACTTTCAAAAAGAATAAGCACAGGTAAGAATCCAATCATTGCTCAATATAATCATGAATAACATTCCAAGTAGAATAAAGCACAGTCCTTTTGACCACAGAAGGGCCCAAACCCCAAGGTTTTTTTCTTAACATAGAAAAACATGTGTTTGGAGTTAAACCAGTTTAGCTAGGATAACAGCAAATGATGTCAACACAGATACCACCCCTGGTTTTCCAAATGATAACATGTGGTCAAGAATCCAGACATACTATTCCATACCAACTATAGAGTATAGGGCTACCTCACCTGAAAATATTGTTTTCTTTAGTAACAATGCATTCTAAAATACATACTTCTATGAATATGCAGTACATGTTCAGGACACATATGTGGATGTTTAAAAACAAAAGCAACCCACAAACTTCCAGGAAATATTCAGTGCACTCATGAATTCCTGAGAGAAGGAACTACTTCTCTAGTGTTTTTCTCTTATACCATTTATTACAGAAGTACAACACAGCAGATTTCTTAAAGTCTTTTTTCTCGATACTCTCAAATTCCAGAGAGTTCTGAGAAAACCCAAGTGTTAGGTAGACAAAGAAGGGAGGTAAGAATGGGCAGCTTTGACAGGTGTGTGCAAGGGGAAAATCTCCACATTGGTTCTCCCCTTTTCAGGATAAAATCTGTATTGCTGCTAGAACTACAGAATGGAGCTTGGGAGCCTCAGGCTGGACCTCAGGAGTTTACCTTACTTGTGCCTAATTTTAGTTCCCCAACCCTGCAAGTCTAAGTATCCCACACCCCCACATCCCACTTTTAGAGGCCAAGAAGGAATGCAAATTTAATGCGTGGTCATGTCATCTACTAGTCCTTTGAGCCAACCTTCCCAAAGACCCCCTATTCACCCCCCTATTCCCCTTCTGAGTATTTTTCCAGAAAAATTGAAAACATCATACTACAGCAATATATGCGTATCACTGATTATAGCAATGATATATAGCTAAATCTTGGAAACAACCCAAATGCTCGTCAACTGAGGAATGGATAAAAAAATGTATTTTTGTACAACAGAGTATTACTCAGCTATAAAGAAAGATAAACTTGAGGCTTTTATAAGTAAATGGATGCAAGTAAAGATCATAGTCATATGTGAAATAAATCAGACCTGCATGTGTAAATATCGTTTTGTCTCCTTAAGAATAAATAAGATTCAAAAGGTACAACAGATATTGCAAAAGGGGAAGGGCTGCTCGAAGGGAAAGAACAACTGGGATGGGGGAAAGGACAAAAGAAAGAAAGAAGGAGGGAGAAATATATGTCTACACACGAGATAGCTAAGATAACCGACTACTACTTTCTGTTTGTTTACTGAAAGCAACAATTGATGCTAAATTGTTTGATCAATTTTGCATGTCTATATCCGATAATCTGAACAACTACTTTGTAGATAATAATATGCAATATAAAAACCTGCGTTAATCTATCATCTTGTTTTGAAATTCTGTATTGTTTTCATTTTTTCCTATTTTTAAAATTCACTTTAAAAAAGATTCTCTATTCAAAAAGTACCTCAGCTTAGCACAGATAAGCTGATATTGGGCGCAAGACACTTTAAGAAAGAAGAGAAAAGGAATATTGTGGGACTGTCCTGCTTCAAGGTTGTATATTGTGAGATTTTTGGGCGTATGTGCAAACATGAGAAGTAAAGAATTCTTTATCCTATTTTTAAAATATAATCTAATTTTTAAATGTTTT